AATCAGCCAATTTTCACACGGTAATGCCCCATAAACAGCCTTGAAGCAAATGACCAATTTTATCTGGGGGACTGTTGGCCAGGACACAGGGAGAAACAACTTTCTCTTTTTGAATTCTGTTGTGGCGTCTTTTACGTCCATCTGGATAGGACCTCAGTTTAATGTCTTATCCGAACATTGACATTGCAGTACTCTCCCAACTCTGCACAGGAAAGTCAGCCTAGATTATATATATTTTTTTAGATATTTGTCCAATTTCCCTTTAAAAGCTATGGTGTAATGCAGTTCTGCTTCAGTGATGATTTTGGTAGGACATTCCATGCCCTAAGATCTTGTCTCAGACATATATATATATTCCAGGCAGAGGGCGAAACCTTGGGCAGGTTTCCTTACTCCACACAGAGCCTAATAATAATCCCTCCAAAACCAAAAACAATAATAAATTGGTCATTTTCAATCTACGACTGTTTGTGGGATTGCTGTGCGCAATTGGCTGCTGCGTTCGCCCACAAATATACAATCAATTCACTTTACAGTATATTCTGTGAAGCGCTTTGGGACGTCCTCCCGACGTGAAAAGCGCTATATCAAATGCAAGGATTATTATTATTACTATTCTCAGTGAGTATCATCGGGCATGGTTTAAGGCCCTCCACGGCCTTGCTCCTTCCTATCTCTATGCCCTGCTGACCCCATATCAACCTTCTCTGCTCTCTCCACTCAGCAGGCTCTCGTCTGCTCCATGTCCCCCACCCAGCCTGCCCCACCATCAGTGGTCGTGCCTTCAGTCACACTGTCCTCAACCTTTGGAACTCCATCCCACATTCCCTTCACCTCACTCCCTCCCTTGCCTCCTCTTCAACTGCACCTTTGGTCATCCTCCTACTCCTAGCCTCCCTGCCTTCACCCTTAATGATCCCAAGCTTCCAGCTTGGATCCAAATCCCTGACGGTCCAGCGCCTTGGGACGTCCTCCCAATGTGAAAGGCGCTGTGCAAATGTAATTATGTATTTTGCATTGTATTTAGTCCACTTTCATTTCGTATTGCTGGCTTTGTTGAGGCATCTGTTGATAATTCCTGTAATTGGATTACAAGCCTATGACAATCACGTTAAACTGATGGCCCCGAAGCTAAAATGAGGACTGACAGGTAATTATTGTGATTAAGAACAAGGCCTTACTATGCCTTACGTGAACTGATTTGTGGGCTTCCAAGTTCCCCTCATCACTCTTAAAACGATTCCTCTCGCTAAGTCTTTTATCCCTTGAATAAAATATTGTCTAACTTGGACAGTAATACTATGCAACACGTTAAATTCACAACCCGGTCACTAGATGCAATGGCTGGGGTTGATTGGAAATGCTGTAGATTGACTGGTAGAAAGTTACTATGCCAGAATCTTGTAGACTGTAGGTGTCTGAGAGTAATTTTAAAATAAATAAAATTGAACATGTACACTGCCTTTGTGAAATCACTTGCTTAAACCATGGGATGATGATCTGGAAAGAATAATAAAATTATGTACAATATAGAATGCAATAGAATATGGATTTGTGGAATAAAGTTGGTCAGTCACTTCATTCATGGCTGTTTGTGTGATATGGCTATGTGTAAACTGGCTGCCCCATTTGCCTAGAAATACACAGTCACTACATTTTACAGTAAACGTTCACGTAAAGCGCTTTGAGATGTGCTCCCGATATGAAAGGCACTATATCTTTGCAAGGATTATCATTATTATTATTAATACAATAGTAGACGACTAAAATAGGAACAGGAAGAGGTTATTCATCTCATTGAGTCTGCTCTGCCAGTTTATTTTGATCGCGGCAAATCTTTTCGTCCCATTGTTCCTGCATTCCATACCTTTATATATTCTTCCCATTTTTCTATCCATTTCTGCTTTAAACATTTCAATGAAATCTGCCTCTACAAACTTCTGACACAGGACATTCCACATTTTCACAACCCTTTGTGTGAAGAAACATATCTCTGGCGCACAAATGCCTCTTTTGACTTCACTCTGGTATTTCATCAGCACTGCAGCAAGTTGCACAAACCGTTGGAGTACAAAGGGGATTTACATATTTTCCCCAAATTGAAAAAATACTTTATTTTGGCCCAGAATCAAAACCTCACCATCTGTTGGTTGAAAAAAATGTTCATTTGTACTTTTTTAAAAAAATATGCTACTTGCAGATTTTCAGAGGCTAAATACTCGGGCAGCAAAATCTTCATCTTCTTAGCATTAAGAATTTTGAAAAATTCTTAGATTTAGTTTTCCTTTCTCAACTCGCCTTTCTACCCCACATCCGTGCCATGACTCGCTCTCCCTTCCCCCACCTCCGCAACATTGCAGGCTCTGCCACTGCCTCACAACTCGGGCCACCGAAACCCTCGTACGTGCATTCATTACATTGAGGTTTGACTATGCAACTCCCTGCTTATCGGCCTCCCCAACTCCTCCCGCCATAGGCTGCAGATCATCCAGAACTCTGCAGACCATGTCCTCTCCCGCACCGGGCTCCGTGACCCTATCACACCTATCCTCGCCCAACTCCACTGGTTTCCCATCACACAAAGGATGGAAGATCCTGGTGCTCACCTTCAAAGCCTTCCATGGTCTTGCTCCGCACTACTTCTGCGATCTTCTAACCCTCTACCATCCTGCCCGCTCCCTCCTCTCAGTGGACTCCGGCCAGCTTCATGTTCCCTGTCTCGCCCACCCCACCATAGGCGGACTGGCCTTCTGCCACTCTACCCCCTCTCTCTGGAACTCCATCCCGCAGTCCCTCCACCTCGCCCCCTCCCTTGCCTCCTTCAAGACCCATCTCAAGACCCTTCTCTTCAACTTTGCTTTTGATCACCCAGCTTCACCTCTGCCCTCCACTCTCCCCAAAACAAATCCCCATCTTGGGTCCGAAACTCTGACTGTCCAGCACCTTGGGATGTCCTCCCAACTTGAAAGGCGCTGTACAAATGTAATTTTGTTGTTGTTGTTGTAGTTTTCATTTGAAAGCTGTTCGTCTCATTACCCCAAAAAAGATTGAGGAAAGTTGACTTCCAGATTGAGACTGAATTTAAGAATTTTCCAAAATCCTGCACGATCTTTCAAGATAATGATGTTAATAATAATCCTTGCAGTTTTTTGATATAGCGCCTTATCACATCTTCGAGACGTCTCAAAGAGCTTCACAGAATATGGTGTAAAGTGAATTGACTGTATATTTTGTGGGCGAAACACGGCAGCCAATTGCCCACAGCAGTGTCCCACAAACAGTCGTGGATTGAGTGACCAAATTATTATTATTGTTTTTTGAAGGGATTAACATTATAAGAGGTTTTTGTGCTCTGGTTCATAGCTCCCTATGTTGATGTGATTTAAATAGAAACTGCAACTGTCTTAAATTAAAGAGTCTTATGTTTAAAAAAGGAAACAATTTGCTTTGCTACTACAATAGGTACAACATGAATGAATAGTCGAAAAGCCTGAAATTTCACCTCATTTCAGCTGTAAGACCATTTTGTCTTCAACTGTAATTATTGTACAAACTACTTAATTTGAAAAAACTTTAAAAACTGCTCAAAACCATTTTTCAAATGAAGATACTGTTCAAGACTATTCCACAATTTGACGCAATCTTCAATTCTAAGACAAAATGGAATTACAGCCAACAACAACAAAATCAGAGTTGTATAGTGCTTTTCACACCGTGAGGACGTTCCAAGGGGCTGAATTCTTTTAACACAAGATCTCTGAAGTGAAAAGGTATAATTCATTGTAAATTATTGACAAAAAAAGCCTGGCTGACTTTCACTACAGGAAGGAATACAGTGTCTCTCCCCACCTACTAATTTGGTCAATAAAATTGAGTTCGTTGCTAGGAGCGTGCAGATACAACATGGGAAATGATAACCATGTCACCTTCTGGCCAGTTGCTGCATCACGTGATTCTTTTATCTTAAAAGACTAGACATATGTTGTGATAAGGAATTGTGGACTTCCTGCTTATTCTAAAAACCTAGCAACTGATCAGATGACTCACAAATAGCATACAATACTGGCAAAAGGCACAGTAAACCATATTGACACTATAAATAGCAAATAGGATTACAAATGGAAAGATTCCATCCATTGCAGGTCAGCTCTTCTGCTGGAGAACACAGAACAAGAAGCCATAAGTAATGGTTATTCTTTACAAAGAGGGCAATCAACACATGGAACACGTTATCAGGAAGAATATCTGAGGCCAGTATATTAATTTAAGAAACAGGTTAATGGTATGATGGGAAGGCAAAAGGATTGTGTGGGGATCGAAGAAAAAATCACATTAGGATGAGAAATGGGCCGGAGAGTTAATAAAATTGATCATTTACTTTGTGGCTGTTTGTCGGATATTGCTGGGCATAAAATTGGCTCCCGCATGTACCCACAAAACGCTCAATCACTCAACTTTACAGTGTGCCCTGTGAAGCACTTTGGGACGTTCTCCTGATGTGAAAAGTGCTGTATCAGATGCAAGGATTATTGTTGTCTGAACCTCTCATGAATCTTTGGACGTGAGTTTAAATGAGGTCCTGTCTGTCAGTTCAAGTTGGATGTAAAAGGTGCCACAGCACTATTTGAAAAGAGGCCTGTCTCACTGTGTTTCTCCTGGTCAATAATCTCGCAGATACAATTGATCATTGACTTCATGTCCATTTATCGGACATTGCTGTTTGCAAACTAGCTGCCATGTTCATGGACAAATAAACAACATTACTGCACTTTACAGAGTTTGTGAAGCTCTTCGAGATGTTATAGGCAAGATATCAAATGTAAGGATTATGATTATTACTTTGTATATAGGTTGCGAGTGTTAAAACTCCATGAGTCTTCACCCATTCCCTCCCTTATCTTTCTGTTCCTTTCTCCCATCTGCATATATTTTGCTTCCTCTTAAATGCATCCACACTATCTGCCTCATCCACTGCTGCAGGCAGTGAGCACCGCATCTCATTATCCTCTGCGGGAAGAAGTTCCTCCTAAATACCATTTTGGATCTCCGAGTTGCTACCTATGTCGCCTGGTTACAGAAACAGTGGTTGCACACGAGTAACAAACAGTCCAAGAAGCAGCTTTCCCCAACACAGTATGTATCGTAGTAGTTACAGTGACTGTCCTGTATACAGTAACACCAGATGGTGTATTGTAGTAATTACAATGACTGTCCTGTATACAGTAACACCAGATGGTGTATTGTAGTAATTACAATGACTGTCCTCTATACAGTAACACCAGATGGTGTGTTGTAGTAGTTACAGTGACAGTCCTGTGTATACAGTAACACCCGCTGGTGTATTGTAGTAGTTACAGTGACTGTCCTGTGTATACAGTAACACCAGATGTTGTATTGTAGTAGTTACAGTGACAGTCCTGTGTATACAGTAACACCCGCTGGTGTATTGTAGTAGTTACAGTGACTGTCCTGTGTACAGTAACACCAGTTGGTGTACTATAGTAGTTACAGTGATTGACCTGTGTATTCAGTAACACCAGTTGGTGTACTATAGTAGTTACAATGACTGACCTGTGTATACAGTAACACCAGTTGGTGTATTGTAGTAGTTACAGTGACAGTCCTGTGTATACAGTAACACCAGTTGGTCTATTGTAGTAGTTACAGTGACTGTCCTGTATACAGTAACACCAGATGGTGTATTGTAGTAGGTACAGTGACTGTCCTGTGTACAGTAACACCAGATGGTGTATTGTAGTAGTTACAGTGACTGTCCTCTATACAGTAACACCAGATGTTGTATTGTTGTAGTTACAGTGACTGTCCTGTGTACAGTAACACCAGATGGTGTATTGTAGTAGTTACATTGACAGTCCTGTGTATACAGTAATACCAGCTGGTGTATCATACTAGTTACAGTGACTGTCCTGTATCTAATAAAAACAGATGGTGTATTGTAGTAGGTACAGTGACTTTCCAGTGTACAGTAACACCAGACGGTGCATTTTAGTAGTTACAATGACTGTCCTGTATACAGTAACACCAGCTGGTGTATTTCAGTGCTTACAGTGACTGTCCTGTGTACAGTAACACCAGCTGGTGTACTATAGTAGTTACAGTGACTGACCTGTATACAGTAACACCAGTTGGTGTATTGTAGTAGTTACAGTGACTGTCCTGTGTATACAGTAATAGCAGCCGGTGTATTGCAGTAGTTACAGAGACTGTCCTGTATACAGTAACACCCGCTGGTGTATTGTAGTAGTTACACTGACTGTCCTGTATACAGTAACACCAGCTGCTGTATTTCAGTGCTTATAGTGACTGTCCTGTGTACAGTAACGTCAGCTGTTGTATTGTAGTAGTTACAGTGACTGTCCTGTGTTTTCAGTAACACCAGTTGGTGTACTATAGTAGTTACAGTGACTGTCCTGTGTATACTGTAACACCACCTGGTGTATTGTAGTAGGTACAGTGACTGACCTGTATACAGTAACACCAGATGTTGTATTGTTGTAGTTACAGTGACAGTCCTGTGCATACAATAACACCAGATGGTGTATTTTAGTAGTTACAGTGAATGTCCTGTATACAGTAACACCAGCTCGTGTATTGCACTAGTTACAGTGACTGTCCTGTGTCTAGTAACACCAGCTGGTGCACTATAGTAGTTACAGTGACTGTCCTGTGTATTCAGTAGCACCACCTGGTGTATTCAGGTGGTGTATTGTAGTAGTTACAGTGACTGTCCTGTGTATAAAGTAACACCAGCTGCTGTATTGTAGTAGTTGCAGTGACTGTCCTGTGTCTAGTAACACCAGTTGGTGTATTGTAGTAGTTACAGTGACTGTCCTGTGTATACAGTAACACCAGCTGCTGTATTTCAGTACTTACAGTGACTGTCCTGTGTACAGTAATGCCAGATGGTGTGGTGTAGTAACTAGTGACTGTCCTGTGTGTACAGTAACACCAGATGGTGCATTGTAGTATTTAGTGACTGTCCTGTGTATACAGTAACACCAGATGGTTTATAGTAGTAGTTAGTGACTGTCCTGTGTATACAGTAACACCAGATGGTGCATTGTAGTAGTTAGTGACTGTCCTGTGTATACAGTAACACCAGATGGTGCATTGTAGTAGTTAGTGACTGTCCTGTGTATACAGTAACACCAGATGGTTTATAGTAGTAGTTAGTGACTGTCCTGTGTATACAGTAACACCAGATGGTGTGGTGTAGTAGTTAGTGACTGTCCTGTGTATACAGTAACACCAGATGATGTGGTGTAGTAGTAGTGACTGTCCTGTGTGTACAGTAACACCAGATGTTGTGGTGCAGTAGTAGTGACTGTCCTGTGTGTACAGTAACACCAGATGTTGTGGTGTAGTAGTAGTGACTGTCCTGTGTGTACAGTAACACCACACAGTGTGGTGTAGTAGTAGTGACTGTCCTGTGTATACAGTAACACCACACGGTGTGGTGTAGTAGTAGTAGTGACTGTTCTGTGTGTACAGTAACACCAGATGTTGTGGTGCAGTAGTAGTGACTGTCCTGTGTGTACAGTAACACCACACAGTGTGGTGTAGTAGTAGTGACTGTCCTGTGTGTACAGTAACACCACACAGTGTGGTGTAGTAGTAGTGACTGTCCTGTGTATACAGTAACACCACACAGTGCGGTGTAGTAGTAGTGACTGTCCTGTGTGTACAGTAACACCAGACGGTGTGGTGTAGTAGTTAGTGACTGTCCTGTGTACACAGTAACACCAGATGTTGTGGTGTAGTAGTTAGTGACTGTCCTGTGTGTACAGTAACACCACACAGTGTGGTGTAGTAGTAGTGACTGTCCTGTGTGTACAGTAACACCACACAGTGTGGTGTAGTAGTAGTGACTGTCCTGTGTGTACAGTAACACCAGATGTTGTGGTGTAGTAGTTAGTGACTGTCCTGTGTGTACAGTAACACCACACAGTGTGGTGTAGTAGTAGTGACTGTCCTGTGTGTACAGTAACACCAGATGTTGTGGTGTAGTAGTTAGTGACTGTCCTGTGTGTACAGTAACACCACACAGTGTGGTGTAGTAGTAGTGACTGTCCTGTGTGTACAGTAACACCAGATGTTGTGGTGTAGTAGTTAGTGACTGTCCTGTGTGTACAGTAACACCACACAGTGTGGTGTAGTAGTAGTGACTGTCCTGTGTGTACAGTAACACCACACAGTGTGGTGTAGTAGTAGTGACTGTCCTGTGTGTACAGTAACACCAGATGGTGTGGTGTAGTAGTAGTGACTGTTCTGTGTATACAGTAACACCAGACGGTGCGGTGTAGTAGTTAGTGACTGTCCTGTGTGTACAGTAACACCACACAGTGTGGTGTAGTAGTAGTGACTGTCCTGTGTGTACAGTAACACCAGATGGTGTGGTGTAGTAGTAGTGACTGTCCTGTGTGTACAGTAACACCACACGGTGTGGTGTAGTAGTAGTGACTGTCCTGTGTGTACAGTAACACCAGATGGTGTGGTGTAGTAGTAGTGACTGTCCTGTGTGTACAGTAACACCACACGGTGTGGTGTAGTAGTAGTGACTGTCCTGTGTGTACAGTAACACCAGATGTTGTGGTGTAGTAGTAGTGACTGTCCTGTGTGTACAGTAACACCAGATGTTGTGGTGTAGTAGTAGTGACTGTCCTGTGTACACAGTAACACCAGATGTTGTGGTGTAGTAGTAGTGACTGTCCTGTGTACACAGTAACACCAGATGTTGTGGTGTAGTAGTAGTGACTGTCCTGTGTACACAGTAACACCAGATGTTGTGGTGTAGTAGTAGTGACTGTCCTGTGTACACAGTAACACCAGATGTTGTGGTGTAGTAGTAGTGACTGTCCTGTGTACACAGTAACACCAGATGTTGTGGTGTAGTAGTAGTGACTGTCCTGTGTACACAGTAACACCACACGGTGTGGTGTAGTAGTAGTGACTGTCCTGTGTACACAGTAACACCACACAGTGTGGTGTAGTAGTAGTGACTGTCCTGTGTGTACAGTAACACCAGATGTTGTGGTGTAGTAGTAGTGACTGTCCTGTGTGTACAGTAACACCAGATGTTGTGGTGTAGTAGTAGTGACTGTCCTGTGTGTACAGTAACACCAGATGTTGTGGTGTAGTAGTAGTGACTGTTCTGTGTGTACAGTAACACCAGATGTTGTGGTGTAGTAGTAGTGACTGTTCTGTGTGTACAGTAACACCAGACGGTGCGGTGTAGTAGTTACAGTGAATGTAAACAGCTGCAGCCAATCACAATGAGGGACGATTGTGACGTTGGTGCTGGAGCTCCACCCCCCCTTCAGGGACACGCCCCTCCTGCCTGCGGCGCATGCGCAGTGTCTCCCTTCCTCCTCTGCCCCGGAAGAGGTCTCCAGAGCCGCTCTGAAGGACAATGTTTCTGACAACAGTGACTCGTGAGTGATACAGTGTCACACACAGCAATAGGTACAGTGTCACACACAGTAATAGGTACAGTGTCACACACACAGCAATAGGTACAGTGTCACACACACAGCAATAGGTACAGTGTCACACACAGCAATAGGTACAGTGTCACACACACAGCAATAGGTACAGTGTCACACACAGCAATAGGTACAGTGTCACACACAGCAATAGGTACAGTGTCACACACACAGCAATAGGTATAGTGTCACACACACAGTAATAGGTACAGTGTCACACACACAGCAATAGGTACAGTGTCACACACAGCAATAGGTACAGTGTCACACACACAGCAATAGGTACAGTGTCACACACAGCAATAGGTACAGTGTCACACACAGCAATAGGTACAGTGTCACACACAGCAATAGGTATAGTGTCACACACAGCAATAGGTACAGTGTCACACACAGCAATAGGTACAGTGTCACACACAGCAATAGGTACAGTGTCACACACACAGTAATAGGTACAGTGTCACACACACAGCAATAGGTACAGTGTCACACACAGCAATAGGTACAGTGTCACACACACAGCAATAGGTACAGTGTCACACACAGCAATAGGTACAGTGTCACACACAGCAATAGGTACAGTGTCACACACACAGCAATAGGTACAGTGTCACACACAGTAATAGGTAC